AGAAGGCAAAAAGGGATAGGAGCTGGTTGAATGAACACAGGAAATCTGGGGCAGAAAGAAGGAATGTGCTGTCACATTATAGGGAGAGCAGCTAAGGTCACATAGCAATGTGTATATAATTTTTTGTATGAGAGACTGACTTGAACTGTAAACTTTCACTTAAAGCACAATAAAAAAAAAAAGTGGGACTGACGGGTGTTATTGATATCTAGAGGAAGGTGAGATTATTTCTAGTTGGGGATCAACAGGTGAAGAAGGACATCAGGAAACACTGCCCAGAGACTTTCGGCCTGGATGTGTCAAGGTTTATTTTAATTCAATCAAGTCCTAAATAAACAAGTATTTGTTGCACCTCCATTAGTTAGATACTAAGTATACACATATGAATAAGGTGTGGGCTCTGTGAGCTCCGTTGAGATAAGAAACAGGCAGGTAAAATAACAACTGTGATACAGCGTAAGTACAACTATAGTAATACATAGAAGTAAATACCATTCCAACAATTCCAAAGAAAATAGATTAACTCTATTTGGGGTGTTTAGGGAAGAGCTTCAGAATGGAGATAATATCTGAGCAGTGTGTTAAAGGAATCTGTCAGGTGCACAGAGCAGGGACAAACACTGCAGGAGAGAGTAGAAAAACAATGAGGTCTACGACAGCTCAATGTGTTCATACAGAACAAGACAGTGTAAGAGACAGATAGCAACAGGCAAGGCTGGTATAACAGATATAAAAATGCCATTATATGACTTGGATACTGTCATGGTTTGAATTATGTCCCCCCAAAAATGTGTGTATCAATTTAGCTGGGCCACGATTCCTAGAATTGTGTGGTTGGCCTCCATTTTGTGATTGTAATTTTAAGTTAAAGACGATTAGAGTGGAATTGTAACACCACCCTTACTCAGGTCTCATCCCTGATCCAATGTAAAGGGAGTTTCCCTGGATAAAAGGAAAGGGAAGCAAGCAGAGAATTGGGGACCTCATACCATCAAGAAAGCAGTGCCGGGAGCAGAGCGCATCCTTTGGACCGGGGTCCCTGCACCAAGAAGCTCCTAGTCCGGGGGAACACTGATGAGAAGGCCGAGAGAGAGAAAGCCTTCCCCTGGAGCTGAAGCCCTTAATTTGGACTTTTAGCCTACTTGATTGTGAAGAAATAAATTTCTCTTTGTTAAAGCCATCCACTTGTGGTATTTCTGTTGGAGCAGCACTAGATGACCAAGACAGATACCAAGATAAAGAACTTGCTATAGCACATGGAAAGCATTCAAAAGGTTCCAAGCAGGGAAATAGTAATATATGATTTCTACTACAGAAAAATCGTCACGACAGCCGTGTGGAGGGAGGAAGAACAAAGTAGACCAATGGAGAAATGTTAGGGCCCAAACAGTCAAAGCCACAAGTGGGGAAAAGGAAGCAGCAGATACAAGAGATGCACAGGAGGGACAGATAACAGCACCGGGAGACTGAGTAGATGTATAATATGGACAGAACAAAAAATAATGACAAAAGGGAAAAAATCCTGAAAGAGGTAGGTGCAATAAAACATGAAATATGAAAAATGGGCAAAAATTTGCTTTGCCTAGAAAGAAGGGGGATGAAGAATGGTAATAAAAGAAAATTATGTTTGAAGGCTAGGTTGCAGAGAGATCTTAGAGGGTCTGAAATGCCAGGCTGAGAAGTTTTATTTATTAGACAAGGCCACTGATGGCTGTTGAATGAAAAAGTAAAATATCAGAGCGGATATTTAGGAAATGAATCTAGCAGCACTGTATAAGTGGACCAGAGAGAGGAAACTATTTAAAGGTAGGTAAACTATCAACAGGCTCTTGAAGTAGTCCTGAGAAAAGACATTTTGGGTCTGAACTACAGTAGTTTAGTGACAGTGCTCATAAATAGAAGGATTCAAATATTACAGACAGAAAAGAAGTAAAATCAACAGAACTTGGCAAATGATCGAAAGCAAGAAGTCAGGGAAGTGTAAGGCCAAGGTGTTAAAAGGCTCAAGTGAATTTTCAATCCCTGAACCTGAAAAGGAGCCCTGGTGGTGCAGTGGTTAAAGTGCTCAGCTGCTGACATGTTGGCGGTTCAAAACCACCAGTCATTCAGTGGGAGAACGATGTGGCAGTCTGCTTCCGTAAGGATTTACAGCCCTGGAAACCCTATGGGGCAATGCTACTCTGTCCTACAGGGTCACTCTAAGTGGGAATCGACAGCAATAGGTTCGGTTTTTGTTTTCAGAGTCTGAAAAATAGTGATAGTGAAGTGGAAGTATATTAGCAAAGTGCTAAAATATTCAAAGAAAGGAGGAAAGTACTGTCATTATCAACAGCTTCTAGTAATAAGGAACTAAGGCAAGTGTAAGTTGATGGTGGAAACATCACGAGTATGACTGTTTAAAGATCCTATACGATATTTTGAAATAAAAAAGCAATCATGATCCACTGTGACTAGTCATGGGGCTGTAGACACGTTATACAACCTCTATGAATCTGTTTGTTTTCTCATCCTGAGAAATCACCAGAGAATAAAACTACTTAACAGTTCAGAGTTCAGGGAAATCTTATCTCACCCTGTGCCTCCCATGCTGAACATAAGACCATGTCTTCTATTAAACATATTTCCTAAGAAGGCAGATGAAGAGCTGAAAAATATCAGGCTTGTAAGACCTCTATTCTCAGTATCATCTCTGTAATTGTTTTTACAAATACAAAAGAAAATGCACTAGCCATGGACTTACGAGGTATCTTTGTTGTATCCAAAGATACAGGCATATATTGGTGATTCCAACAAATACATATAAATAAATCTCAAAGCCATCATATTTGTTGACTTGCTATCAGGGAGCTCTACTTCACACTTCATTGAAAGGCGATGGAAAACCATCTGTCACCAAGACATTAGCCTGTCACCTTAGCTTCCCTGAGGTGAGCCGATTTGGGTGGCACATTTCAATACTAGCACTTTCTTGCTATTGAAAAAATCCTCACATTTACTTTGACAATTTTTCATCTTTGACTTACACTGCAATTTCCTCCTTATCCTCCTTCCTGGTCTCTACTGTTCTCCCCTGCAATCAGTCTGAAGTGTCTCAGAAAAAATTGTTTTCATCCCTAATGCTTATCTACTCCACCTTTAAGTTTCATCACTGGCCTTCCACTGATTTTCAAGTTCAGTTCCCATCTCACCTTGAAATACTCCTAACCCATATCACTT